TAATGTAAAAAAAACAAAACACTAATATGACAAATGTCAATATTAATTCGAGAAAAAAAGATTTATGATTTTTGAAAAAAAAATATTAGACAGTTCAAAAAATATAATTCAAAAACATATACATATATAGATATATCCAACATTTATATCCAAATTAGATGAAATGCTATATTCAAAATCACTGTTTATAGTTTTAAATCTAATTAAAAATCAATGTTTATAAATTTAAATAAATGTTGACATAAAAAAAGTGAAATGACATTTGTCAATATTTATGAAAATTATTAGATAAATAGATTTATAATTTATATTTATTTGATTTGCTTACCAAATTAGTTCGGATACCAAAACTTCCTCAAAACATTATAGATCACAATGAAAAAGCGACATATTAAATTTAACATTAATCATAAACAAAATTTTGACACATCAAAAAAATTGAATTTTTAACGACTTCAATAAGAAGAAACAAATACATTGATTATTCCAAGTTATGTTATAGGCAATATTGCCAATCAATTATACATACATTATTGAAAAATAATTATATCATATTATATTAAATTTTGACCAAGAAGGAAATATTTTGGCATTTATAAATTTAGTGCATATTGGATATATGAAATTGACATTTACTATTTTTAAATGAAATGCAATGTATACGCATTTTGGCGTGAAAAGTAATTTAAAAAACAATAATTATTATTGTTAGGTATACGGTAAATATTAGTATATGTAGGATATTAAAAAGAAATTAAAATTGTAGGTATATATAATATATATGAGATTTTTTGAGCTTAGCAAAAAGCTCAATTTCACATTAAAAAAATTAGTTTTATCAAGGGTTGTCTAACTCAAACTTTTTATTTTCAATTTATTGTATAAATTTTCTTAATTTTTTTTAAATGCAAGTTTGAAAAATACATGCATGCAACCCTCTATTATCACCCTCCTACCACTCTTCCAAGTTTTATTAATCATTATTAATCTGATTGATAACTGGTCAATTATTGTTTTTTTGTGTACGTTTTTCACAGAATTTCGATTCAGATTTTTCAAGTTTTATGAAAAAACTTGATTTAACAAAAAAAATTTACAAGTCATTTTTTTAATAAATAATAATATTTTTCATGGTAAATATAAGGTAGGCCGAGGGTAAAAAGGTTCATAAATACATCGGATAGATAAATTCCTACGAATAGCATAGCGTTGCCATAACATTTCCATTTTTTATCCGAGGATTGGCACCTAAAGTTGATTGAAAAATAAACTTATCCAAGATATCTTCGGCCAATTTTTATCAAACGTGTCAGTTTTTTTTCTAAATATTTAATAACCGTGAGATGTCGTATAATGGATTGGTATTGTGTATTAAGATGATAACTTTTATTTTATGATGTCTTGGGAGAAGCAAACGAGCGTCCTTTTGGACCATTTTGTAGCTTCAGACGCCGCACCGCAATGCATTCATTTTTATGACATCTCGTATCGGAAGAGCAAAAGTATAATCTTAACGCTTGCGCATTCAAATAAATATATATATATATATATATATATATATATATATATATATATATATATATAACTATAGCAGTCCTGGAATATTTGAACAGATGCAATGTGCATGACGAATTAATCCCCTGAGGTTCGGCTAAGGTACTTTCTAGAAAAGTACACGTCGCATATTTACATGTAATATATTATACTATATATGTCATACGCAAAAGCTCTATTTTATATTGCATCAAGATTTTCCGACGTTTCAATGTCTTCTTCCTGTGGGACTATTTGAAGATTAAAAACTATTACAACCAAATCTTTTATTATTATTCAAATTGTAATTTAGATGTACTTGATACCATACTAAATGAGATATGAAAGATTTAAAAATATTTATTTACTAAAAATATATTAAATTTTTATGATAATTGAATTATTGGTAATCATTTTTAACCATATACGCGTAGAAAGTTTCTATTAGAAATATCAGTTTTTTTAATAATGATTCGAAGGTTTTGCAATTAAATTCATAATATATTGCGTCTGATGACTCTATAAACCAGAAAAGAGAAGACTAAAAAAAATTATGGCCAATTAATTTGATCTAGTAAAATTCATCACATGGTTCATACCCTCTGGGGTAACTACCAACCTGATTGTTATTAAAAAAAATTAATGAAATCTTTTACATACGTCAATTTCCATTATAGTCGACCTGAAAATGCTAGTCAAAGTTAATAGGTAAACACATTCTTGTTAATCTTGGCCAACTTACCTGGAAAGCTACGGGTGCCCTTTGTGAACCAGATATCTGCGTGATATCAAGTTGTTAGGTGCTTTAGTAAATGGCGTGATAATAACTCATAAAGATTCCAGACTAAATTTTATAGTTTGGCGTGGACTCAATTTATATTGTTTTGACCGGTAAATAAGCGATCTAAATTGATTAATTTGTGCCTATATAATTCAATGTCTTCTTTGACTTCGAATCACGAAGAAATGTGCATATAAACGTATTACAAACACGATACTTTATAATAAGTATAAATATATAATATAAATATGATAAGATATATATATATATATATATATATATATATATATATATATTAGGGTGGTCCTTAACAAGGACATTTTCGAATTTCTTTGCTACCAAGGGCGCCAATGCTTCTAAATTAATAAAAAATGAATCTGTAATAGTATTAGCTCTTAATATAAACATTTAGATAGAGCGCATGCCAATTGAAAGTTTCATTTCAACATCATTAAGTAAATTTTTGTGCCATCTGTATAGTATTCGTGAACTCAAATATTATGACACATAAGCATATTTATAAACCTACCTTCAAAATATCTACCTTCATGCATCCATTAATAATAGCAAAAAAAGTTATCAAGATTATGATTTTTTTTTTTAATATTTTTTTATATTTTTAATTACAATCTGTCACACTTGAGACATTGAGTAATTGTTTCGACATTTTATTAAGATGTATGAAATTGATTAAAAGGTATTGAAACGGAAAGATATTGTGAAAGGTATATTTTCGAGTTTTTCTTTATTTCACACAAAGTTAATGAAACGTTAAAATTTTGCGTTCGATATACTATTAATGTTTTCCTCATCAAAAAAAGTTCGAAATTCATGCATACGATATGTCATAAAAGGCGAATCCACCTTTTTGATGTGTTTTACCTCTGGCGACGATCGCACCTTCGTACCAGAAACGGCACTAAAACTTTAACAGCTTTTCTGTAAAACGTCAGAATAATGGAATGGGTATCAAAGGGTTCTACTTTATGGTCGACACATCAGTTTTACTTGTTTATTTCATTGTAAGGTCGTTTGCAAAACTACGCTACTAAAAATAAACACATGTAATCATCAAAGATTCGACCAAATTTCTCGTAACGCAATAGTTTTTGATGAAAGTCTATTTTAATTCATTACAAACAAGCCGTTAATTAGTTTCAGTAATTAATTTATGGCGAAAACAGAACACACAGGTTGTGTAACATGTGATGGAGTTTGAACAAAACTTAGAGGATAATTAGCTTTCAAAATTTTGTTCATGATAAATTATTTTTCATTATACAAAATTACACTCTTTACAGTGTCCTTTGCCTTTTACCTTTTGCATAATTTATTGTGCAAAATTCATACATGTTTTTATTCTCATTGATTGATTTTTAAAATCTTATACATGATAAATAATAAATGATCAATTTGGTATAAAATAGGAATGTAATGGTAATCCTAAGTTGTGGATCTATCTTAGTATGAGTTGGTAGTAACGAGCTGTCAAAAAAACATGTATTTGCTTAGGTGTTTTACATTAAAAACCTAACCTACAAAATGCACAAACGCTTTCTGTTATATCATAAGTGCAACTTTCTGATGTCTCATTGATAACAAATACGTGAAGTTAGGTTTTATGTGTAAAACGCCTGATTGCACAGCAAATACGTAGTTTTTTGGCGGTTCGTTATTACCAACTCATACGAAGATAAATCCGTAACATAACATTTTCATAAATTGCAATTTTATCCCTGAATTGGTCCCTGAATTTCTATTATAATTTTTTTTAATTTACAGCAACACTACAAAACAATTCGTATTATTATTCATTCATTATTATTATATTTTATTAAAATTCAATATACGTAATATATTCAATAGTAATAATTCGATATTTTAATCTGCATTGAGCCACATAATATTATAAATGAATTTTAACCCCTTGCACACCATTGACGCCTTATTAGCCTCATTTTAATATGGAGTTTTTGAAATATTGGAGTGCAAAGGGTTACTAGTTATATATTTATTTTAAAATTATGGTTACGATATAGAATGAAAAATTATATTTTATACAACGAGTTGGAGGAAAATATATTTTTTATATTTTTTTATATTTTAAATAAATAAATTTAAATATAAAATATATTTATAAATACGTAATAACTGCACTCATAGTTATTTGTTGGCTTTCGAAGTATTATTCATAAAATCTTATTTTGTAATTCACTTTTTTGTATTTTTTTAAATTAATATCACATCCATCATTTTTAGATTTTTTAAGAAATTATTAATAATTTTTCAACTTCTATCGTTTATATTTTATCTAATTGATGTGGGAAATCCCTAACTTTAGATAAGAAAGAGAAACAACGTTTTTTTTACATTTTTTTGTAAATGTTTTTAAAAAATTATATCGACGCTAGTTATTTTTAGATTTTTTAAGTAATTATATACATTTGTTATACATTTATTGAATATCGTTTATACAATATCTGATGTTTTTCCCTTACTTTCAGATTTTCAAAAATTAGAAAAAGAATCAACAATTTATTATACTGTTTGTTTCATAAAATATTTTAAAAATTTATATCGGCGTTAGTCATTTTTAGATTTTTTAAGTAAGCATATACATTTGTTATACATCTATTGAATATCGTTTATATTTTATCTAATTAATGTATTTTTCCCTTACTTTCAGATTTTCAAAAATTAGAAAGAGAAGCAAGAATTTGTCGAAAACTTCAACATCCAAATATAGGTGAGTACGGCACGCATAAAATGTTCAAAATTTAATTGTAACAACTAATAGTTTTATTGTATTTCTTACTTATATTTTTATTAATACACATTTAGTTTCATATTTTTTTTCACAAAATTTTTATGCTTAAATTTCTGACGACATTTATATATACAAACTAAGGCCCAATATAATTTTTAGCGGAGTCCTTGGTTTTTTCTAACTCATATATCTTATATGTATATATTTCTATATTTTTAAATATATTACTACATAAATATTTTTATTCTAATAATAATTTCTATAACTAATATCCGTTGTAAATTCATGTTTTATACAAATTATAATTCACACCTAACGACTTGATTTCTATGTCTTTATAAAGTTTGGCCCGCTGAAGTTCTGACGTACTTAGGTAATAATATAATTCGAATTAATTGTATAAAAATTAACGCATTCAGGGAGCATTTTTTTATAATCGCAATACTTAATTCAGATTATTCAATGAATATAAATTTTATTATTTATTTTCAAAAAATATTGGAAGAATATTTCGTCGTTTTTATCGATGTAATTTGATGGAGTGATTTTTATTTGTTAATCGTGTTATATTTTCACAAATTTTTACTAAATTTTATTTCTACATGTGATTTCCGATTAATGTGTTAATTATTTTACTAGAAAAGTCAAAATTGAGGAAAATACTGTTCAAGTTACTTATAAACAAATTAAGGGGTCAATTCTCCCATACAATAGAAATATTACAGCAAGACTGTGTTACGGTAGTTTTTTCATATAAATTGGTATTAAAAACTGTCAAAATGCTATGTATTTGCTGATATCAGACGTCTTACACATAAGACCTAACTTCACGTATGTGTTATTAATGACACATCAGAAACATGCAGTTATGATAATTTTCAAATGACGTTTGTGCACTTTTTGCTTTAGGTTTTATATCTGAAATATAAAATAGAAAATACATAGCATCTTGACAGTTTTTACTGCTAATTTATATGAAGAAAGAATCGTTGCCATAACAACGCTATGTGAAAATAATATTTTATTGGAAAATTGGACCCTAAATTTTTGATTTTTAGTAATTTTGATCAGTTAGTGAAACAACTTTTATTTAAGTTTAAGAATTTTATTGTTTTTTTTTTCATTTCCAAGAAATACAACTGATTGCGAGAACATTTAGTACATATAAGGACATACATTTTAAACTTAAGTACATAAAATTTTATTGAAATCTATCAATTATCTATTACCAAACTTGACAATTTTCATAGATTTGATGCAGAAAACGTTTATAATAAATATTAAAAAAATAGTTAGATTTTTTTATGTTCAGTAGCTGTAAAGATAATATTTATATATCATTATACATAAATGCATACGCATATAATAAATATACGTATGATGTGTATTTATTTTTATTTATTCATATACCTAACCTTATACATGTGTATATGTGTCTATTTCAATTTAATTACTTTCATTTCTTTCAATTATTTTAAACTCTCATTATTTATATCATTTAAAACTCCAATGCTGAATATTTAATTCTATATATTATTAAATTATTCTCCAGTTTTGCCTTTTCGCTATATATTTCCTCGATTTATTTCTATTTTAATTTTTGTGATCTATAATGAATGGCCACTGAATGCTATGTATCGTAAAATTGTGACGTCCTTTTATTTCTTAATATATATTTATATTGCATTTATTCAACATTTGTGAGCTTTGTTCGATTTTCTATTTATTCTAATTAATATATAACCAAAAATATTTTATTCTTTAAAGTCGTCACAACTATTGCGGCTTTTTATTCATTTCTTATTATTTGCATGCTGTCATATTTTTCTACATATGTATATCGAATCATTTTATACCCTGTTTTTTTAAATTAGTTATTTTTGAATACTATCTTTATTATTTGTTCATGTATCCTCATAAGCATATTTATATCATTCTGTTTTTTCAAATGTGTAATTGTATTTATATAAAATTTATCTAAGTATCTATAAAATTTATATCTTGTATATATATAGATTACGTTTTTCGGTATTAACTAGGGAATGCAATACCGATAAAATTATTCGTTGTCGGTATTTTAGTAAACCGGTATTTTCGGTAAACCGGTATTATTACAACTTCGAAAAATGTGAACTAAATTAAAAGTAACTTGAACAAATATAAAAAATGAACCTAACATAAAATAAAATAATTATTTTGTTCATTTTGAGTAATTATGGTATAGAATATTTTGGCGATGTCACTAAAAAAATCGTTACAATTTTTAAATATTGGAAATAAACATCATTATTTAGTAGTCAGATTTTATTCATTATGACACGATATGAAGTTTTCTGGCAAGCAATAAATATTTAGTTTAATGACGAGTCGAGATAATTTTTTGACACATGTTGAACGACCTAAAAGTATATTTTTTTTAAAGGAAAAACTCAAGCTCGAGTGTAACATGTATCAACTAGCACTTATGTTTCAATACCGAAAATACCAATATTTTTAAAGTAAATACCGGTATTAATACCGCCGAAAGTTTATACAGCATACCGGTTTTTGGGTATAACCGATATTGCATTCCCTAGTATTAACCCATATTAGACCAATATTTTCTACTATTTTTTTTCAATTAAATTTTTAATAGAGAATATTACTTATTTTCTATTAATATTAAAGGTGCAGCAAATTGATTTCTAATTTTTTAGCTTATTACTGTAAGAATTTATCGCATAATTTATTTTTATTAATAGAATAAATATAAAAAATGAACTGCAATTCCAGAAATATAACACACCATCAGGTTTATATTTTAAATTTAAATATATTTAGATAAAATAGAGCAAGTTGCTAGGAGAATCATCAATGATTTAAAAAGGATAACTTTTTTAATTTCATGATTTAACTGTGAACAAATAAATCGGTAGTTAAGGATATTAATTTACTAATTTAATTTGTTTTTTTTTATTTTTTTTTTGTTTAATTGAACTAATTTTCAATTTGTTCTGAATTTTCCATTCTTAATTCTAGAAAGCTATATAAATTGTCAATTTGTTAAAAAAAACTTACAATAATGCTTAAATATATAAATAACAAGTATCAAATAACGATTACTTTAAATTGGATAATATGGGTTAAAAGTCTATGCATGATAAATATTCAATATATTATAAAGTTTGTATCTTGTTTGTCCGCACTTTTGTTTTTGCAATAATTCTATATTCAATATCTGATATGAAAAACAAAACTTTACTACCATTTTGTACTAATTAATAGTAATCAACATATTTTTGTTTACTGAAACTTTTGTATTAGGAATAATGAACACTTGAAAAAATTTTGTTCCTAATGCTGATCGATTTCCTTCTAACTGAGGATTTTCTCACATTTACAATATTTGTCTTATTTGTGTTAAGACTTTTTACATACGAGTAATATTTGTAACTTAACTTATATAATCATGTTTTACGCATATTTAATTCTTCTTTTCAGTACGACTACATGACAGCATTCAAGAGGAAAATTTTCACTACCTAGTATTCGATCTGTGAGTATATTTTACTTTTTTTTAAACTAGAAATATCGTATTTGCTTGTGTGATTTCTGAACTTGTATTAAAAAAGGTAAAGCGTAGAGAAAAAAATGGATGCATATACCTGCATGCATAAATAATCGTTAATATTATACTTATTATACATATTGCTTATGTGTTTTAGTCAATTTTTTTAATCATTAAGAAATTTACCGAATGTTTTACTACTTTATATCATGTTTTTAAATACGAGCATACAATATGTCTACGCATAAATTAACAAATTTTTATGAGAAAAACATTAAGATCTAGAAAATCTTTCAGAAGAACCACATTAGAAATCATGCGTCAGATGTTGGGCGTCATTGTCACAGTCTCCTCGCTGTGATCAGTTCAAACGTAAATCGCACCTTCAAAAGTTCATTTTGAGGGTGATTTTCTCATGTTATTTGCGGACTTGTTTATTGATATTTGTAATTTATGCCAGCACTGGTGGTTTTGATCAATTTTATTCTATTAATCAGGTGAGCGGAATCAGGAATTTTAATTATTTATTTATTTTGGTTCAGTTTTGGACATAATGGCATGTTTATACAATGGGCAAAATAAGTACCATACTACAGGGCAGTTCATTCAATGCAAAAAAAAATTAAACCTGTGTGATTGTCTACTCTAACTTTTTCTGAAAACATACCAAAGATCCACAAGTAAAAATAAGATACTTGTTTTTATTGCAAAGATCTCTTTTCCAATTCGGGGCCCGGCGAAAGTTGGTTACGGTGTAAGATTTATTCTTTTTGGACTTATGTTTCAGATGCTGATTCAGATCCTAAGAATCCCAAAAGATTTGTGAATAGCCTTCTTAAAAATCAGGAATTCAGTATGTCCTTACCTTATATGTCATTATTTCTCCCCTATAAATGGTTTTTGTAATTAGTTCCAGCTTAAACGTTACTGGTAGTCAATGATTCTAAGATGAGTAAAAACGATTCACACAGGTTATAATATCTAGTGCAGTAACTATAAGTTTATTATTATTTAGTATTGTATAGTGGCTTTTGTTTAGCCTAGGTCTTTTAAATCAAGATTGCAATTGGACCTATCGTCCTTTTTATGGACATTTTGGATCAAAAGTATCATATTGATGTATTCATCTTTTGGCTTGTGTGCATCCATATTGACACAATAATGTTCGAGACTGCGGCAGTTCATCTTCCTTCTAATATGTTGCAACCAGATTCTAGCATTATTAAATAAATCAATATCATTAAAAAACAAAACACCAGGACATTTTGTCAGTACATCCCCTACGCTTAATATTATTTTTAACGTATTTATATACCAAATTAGTTTTACTGGCATATTTTCAATAATTTTCCTTCCATTATATAGTGTCTAGAATCGTACTCTGAATAAATTCATTGCGAATTGATTGGGTTAGATTCCTCCGACATTGGCTAATGCATCCAATCCATTTACGTTCTGGCACATTGGTACGCGTCAAGCGTAAACCTAGAGAGCGCTCTCATATCGCCGTTACGAAGATCAATTCGTTAAGTAATCTAATTATCATAACGCCCGAGATTATACTTGTTTATCTATGGCCCGAGATACGTGCGATAGTTCCAAATCGACTTAATGCGACACCACGCACTTTTTCCAAATTAAAAATGTTTGAAAAATTATAATTAAATGAGAATCGTAAATTCGAACTTGTGCAAGTTCATACGCAATTGCGATGACCGTTGACAAATTACGGAACGCTCTTTACAATAAACCGTATTTTAAACTTCTCTTAGGGTAAGTTATAGTAATCGCAAAACATCGAACATGAAATTTGTTGTATATCTTTACGTTTCAAACGTTTCTGAACATTTTGGCATACCTTATGAACAGTTTTTTGTCCACTATTTCGTGAGCAAAGATCAACCGATTTGAATGGTTCGATTTCAATTTAAAAGGATACGTGCTGGTTAAATTTTGGGAGGACGAGCCAGCAACAATCATACCGATGATGATATGTAAATCATACTGATGATATCTATGTGTAATTTAGTCAATATTCTAAGCTTTGATGCACAATTACAAAGATATGCATACATTTCAATACGTCCCAACGAGCATCAAATATTATTCTGTTGGAAACTATGTAATTGCGGATTTTTGTTAGAAAATTAAAGATATTTTTTTTGTGCAGCATCATCATCATCTCACTTTCACAAAAAACACATCCCAACCACATTGGTTTCTTCAATATTGTTTGCCGAGTTGTCGAAAATATGTGATGCCAATGATTTATGAAAGATATGTGAATAGTTGTTTTGATTTACCAATTTAGGCCGCTTAAACCGTGTGGTTTAATTTTTTTTAATTGTATAAAATGTAGACATCAGAATTGATCATTTGGTTAGTAATAACAGTATAAGTAGACAATTCCTTTGTAATCAACTTCAACTAGACGTTTTTCATCTTTGAGAAAGAAATTTGGCAAACCAATTTTGACACCACCTTTCTTAAGGCTTTGTCACCATAACCAGCTCATCACATTTCGTGAGTATAAGATGCCCTTTTACCTTTGCTGAAATAAAAAATATTACTAACATGTTTATTTAATTTTCAATCTTTTAATAAATGCCAAGTGAAAACTTCACAATGAATATTTTTTTTACTGATGGACATCTAATCCGTCTACGACTACAAAAGGTATTTTACATTTGGACTAGTAACTCAGCACGTACTTAGTTTCCAACCTCTTATCATAGACACTGATCAATATTTACCTAGGTCCAGTATAAAATTTCTATTTTATTACATTAATTACAATGCTATTTGATATTACATACTCTTTCTAAATGAAAGATTATGGGGCCAATTCTCCGATAAAATATAAATCTTATGGTAACACCATATGAAGGGTCTATCTTCGTATGAATTGGTAGTAATTTAGGAGTTTAATAAATGTATAGAATTATTTCAGAGAAATTTAATACTTCTATTTCCTAACTCGATGTGGATGCAGCAAAAACTTATTTGTTATTATAATTTATTAAGATATTTAAAGTTTTGACTATTCTCATTTGTACTATTTTTATATTTAACTTCCCGTAGGGCAAGTTATAGTAATCGCAAAAAAATCGAAAATGAAAATTTTTATATATCTTTACGTTTCAAAGGTTTCTGAACATTTTGGCATACCTTAGAAAAAATGGATGTATGTGTGTGTGTGTGTGTGTGTGTGTGTATGTATGTACGTGTGTGTATGTATGTGCGGATACAAATTTTCGTCGACGATTTCGGGAACACGGATCAACCGATTTGAATAATTCAAAAAACATTCGATTCGTATTGATAAGGAGACGTGCTGATTAGTTTTTGGCGAAAGCAGGTCTAGCCGTTCCGAAGATACGGGGCAAAAAGTGCCGAAAACGGTAACTCAGTTTTTAAGAGAACGGAGCGTCCGATTTGAATAATTCAAAAAACATTTCACTTGTATTGACAAGATGAAGAATCGATAAAATTTTCATGAAGGTAGGTCTAGCGGTTTCGGAGATATGGAGGAAAAAGTAAAAAAATGAGCCATTCGGCGGTCAAAAATGATCATTAGACATATGCACATCAAATCATCAGATATTTTATAGAGATTTTAACAATAAGTATACATTTTGTTAACATTCTTATGGGTTCCGTACCAATGCTTATGCGTTGGACAGCGACGCGGCGCTTACGCGCTTTATATTTTGTTCCTATGCAGTTAAAGCAGTACGATTGCTTTGAAAAAAAGTTCAGATCTTCCACAATATGTCAAAATAAAGAAAAATTTTTTTTTCAAAAAAAAAAGAAATTAAAAAATTTTTTTTCAAAAAAAAGTAATTTTTTGTCCAATTTAGTTTCTCAAAAATCTTATTTTTTCAAAGTATTTTTTTTTTCAAGAATGTTAATCGTTTTTAAAAAAATAATAATTTTTGGTACGGGAAGTTCCAGCAATTTGCCTTGAGGCACGATGCCTTAATTGCCTTAAGACAGAATTCCACTTACAGCTAGTAATTATTATAAAAATGATCGACGTACCTAATTTACTTATTTAGATACGTGTTTGATAGGCTTTAAAATGAAGAGCTTTTTAAAACTTTTAAAACCTGTTCAAATATGATATATCAGTTATGAGACCAGTTTCTTCCACGATTAAAACATTAATTTCGTAGTTTATTAACTATTATTCATAGTCCATTATCTGTATTAAAAAGATTTTTTTAAATATAAAAACTTAACTTCAAACTAATGTTTGAAAAGTCACAATCAAGTATAACAAAGCACCAAGAAGTCATGTACAAGGTGCAGAATTTAATAAAAATAAAATTTAATTAATGAAAATACAGCTTATCATATGATAAATGTTTGAAGAATAATAATTGGAGCATTTTATATCCAAATGCTGGAGAACAGAGAAAATTACCTTGCTCTTCTATTACCGGAAAACTTTTTTCATAAGGCATATGTATATGTATGTATATATATATATATATATATATATATATATATATATATATATTACATGTTCCTAGCAAGAATATTGATGCATAAATAACGGACACAATATTATGGACAAACAAGAATGTTTGTGTTGTGAAATATACGCGCAATTCAAATCCAGGGTAGATGTCAATGTGTTGATATGCTCTGGCTCTGGCTTTATGCCAAATCCCTACCATTCAGGCAACGTATTCAACAGTTTTGTACGAACCTAGTATAGTGAAAAAAACTAGATCCTTAGAACTTTTATTGGAAGCATTAAGTTTGCTATATTGTATTCCTCACATACAGTTGCACCAAACTATCTACGTTCTCAATACTTTTATTTTTTTCTGTTATTTCTGAAATACATAATTAGAATCATTAGAAACATATCTTTTTTATTAGATGAATTTGTATAAAAAGTTTCTGAGCTTGTATATGTTTTATATTTAATATTTTAATTCTCAAAGGGTAAATTTTGCTAGGCCATTGGGGCACTAGTC